GGGTTCGGGACTTGCTGAAGGGCCCCGAAATTTTTTGGTATTTTAGAGGGCGAACGGTGCCATTTGGTACGGTTTAGAACTATGATTCAGCTAGTCAAAATTCTAATTACAAGAGGAGACCAGAAATGGCGTGTACACGTTTTCTTGGGTCAAAAACGAAAATCTTAGGTTTCACATATACATTTAAAAGGTTCTAAATCTAAAATTAAGATTGTTTTAGAAAATACATGGCGTCATCAGCATGATCATGAAAATAACTAAGTAGAGAGAGAGAGAAAGAGAGAGAGATGGTTGAGTTTGTCCATGGACAATAAACACGAAAGAGGGATATCCATCAGGGGCGATCCAGGGTTATTTGAAGGGGGGGGGGGGTCCGCGGATGCGAAACCGACCCCTCTCCTCCCCTCAACTTGGCGTGGGGTTCAGGACTTGCAGAAGGGCCCCGAAATTTTTTGGTATTTTAGAGGGCGAACGGTGCCATTTGGTACGGTTTAGAACTATGATTCAGCTAGTCAAAATTCTAATTACAAGAGGGGACCAGAAATCGAAGGGGGGGGGGGGGAAGGGAGGACCCCCTGACCCCCCTCTAAATCCGCCGCTGTCCATACACCCGTAGGGAATATTTCGGCTGTAAGATAAAAATACCCCTACCCTTACCTGCCACTAGTGGGATGTACACATTCAACAAAACCAGCTCACTTTTCCAGAGCGTACTCACTTTTTTGATCAGCTTCAATATGCTGAATACTTCAAAAACCTCCGCTTCCGATTATTTAAATATTTTATGAGACTTTACGGAAAGTCATGCAGCTCCGTGTGCTTTCAACAGACGTCATGTTTTCGTCATTAACGATTCATTTGTTATGCAGACCGCATATATCTATTTTCACGTCAACGGAGAGCAACGGAGGGTTTTGTTTGTACTATAAAAACTTAAAAATATTATATATTGGGATATTACGCATGAATAAGGGTTAAAATCAAAACCCATTTTGATCAGCCTCCAGTTTTTTTATTGGGTAGTATTATAACTTTGTGGCTATGGAGTTTTTTCCGGTGCGAGGGAGGTTTTTCATCAGCATCTAGTACTTAAATGGATGTGGTAGATTTGGAATGTACGACTTCCCCCAAGAAGAAGGACAGGAGACATACAGTTCCAAAATCGTTATTATATTTTTTTAATACTTGAGTTTGAAAAAAAAAAGAAATACGCTAAGGTACTCAAACTGAAATCGTTTGCCAGCGAGATACCCACACCGTAGGAAGTTTCAGTAACCGAAGAAGATAGAACAAGAAAATACCAAGACCAAACAAAGCCGACGAAAACATCCAAAAATAACAAGGTAGGTGTGTTTCAAAGCTCCGCCTTATTTAATTTTGGCATGTTATCATTTTCAAAACTTATGGATATAGCGAAGGATGCAGTGTATAGGCAATTTTTTTTTCCAAATATTAAACAAGATGAAATCTAAAAAAAAAGACAATCGTTGTAAATACCAAATACGAGAGGAAAAAAGAACACAGTATCGGTTTCATTATAATTCTAAATATACCAGATGTTTCTGGGCTCATGACGGCACTCAAACTGAAACCGGTTTGGGTCTGTGTGATTTCAGTGGCGGATTTAGAAGAGGGGAGGTGTCCGGGGAGGGGGGGGGGCTGACCCCACCCTTCGATTTCTGAAAAGAATCACACCAATGTGTTTCTTTCTATCATCTGTTCTTCCTTTCTCTTGAAATTAGAATTTTGACTAGCTGAATCATAGTTCTAAAGCATACCAAATGCCACTGTCCGCCCTCTAAAATACCCAAAATTTTCGAGGCAATTTAGCGGACCCTGAACCCCAAGGGGGGGGGGGAGGGTCGGCTTCGCATCCGCGGCCTGTCATTACTATAATAACCGGACCCCCCTTCAAATAATCCTAGATGCACCACTGGATTTGGAGCAATATTTTGAAGTTATGTTGTTGGATAAGAATCAGTTTGGATAAGATTCAGTGAATATTTGAAGAAAAAAAGAATCAAATGCACGAGAGTTCAGGTCTTATAAAATTATTTCTTTGAAAGAACTGTCAAACTTGCACTGTTGCATAAAATGTTTACTGCGACAGAAAAAAACGCATATTTCAATATATCAAACCAATGTGTATTCCACAAGAATATAACCATCGGAGAATAATTGTGTTTTGGCATAGCATTTGTTCCTGGTATCCAAGCCTTAACGTAATTTCAGTGGTTTTCAGTGGCTTTTGTTACTGCCATTATAATGCTGAATAGGAGATCTATCCACATTATATTTATTATCCCACTGCTGTCCCCTCGGGTTTCGTACCACCATTAAGTTTTGAGATTATCTTAATCAATATAATGGAAATTTGAATAATTCATATAAAATAAATATCGGATACATAGATCAGGATTTGTCGCAACCATACTGACTATAAACAGCAAGCTTCTCCCATAGTACAGTGTGCAGTTGCGTGGTGATAAGCTATTATTAACATAGATTGGCATTTCTTTTATTTTAAATGCTGTCGTCAGCAGAGATAATACGATGCAAAAGCGGTTATAATATTATCACCCTTAAACGCACCAATTAGGCCGCATTCAGCGCTGAAAGCTAGCAAACGAACAATATCTTTCTCTGAAACAGGAAGTCTACCCTCCTTTTAGTTATAATTTAGGGTTAGCCTCACCTAAGTGGGTCAAAATCTAGGGGAAGGCTTACCTGTACAAATGAATGGGAAGCGGACTCTCTGTTATGGGGAACTCTCTGCCACGTTACACCGGCCTCGCTACTTCTTGCCCTGGAGGTCCCAAATCACAGCCTGCCGTGTGGTGCTGGGTTCTTTTTTTCTCCAGGGTGTGTCCGATCCAGCCACCCCCCTCCCCTTCTCCTCAAAAATCTACTTGGCCACTGGTTTTAAAAAACCGCCTACAGTAGTACTATATCCCTGTCAGATTTTATATGTACTAATATTTTATCGTTATTATTTTTTTTACCAGGTCTGATATCTTTTCCACAATTGTTGACGACAATGACCAGTTTAAAAATGACGATTATAACATATGCAATACTGCTGTTCATTGCAGGTAAGTTTTGGCGATTATTTCCACCTTTCTTTGGTTTTTCCATTCTTTGATTTTTTTCTCCTTTGCCCTCTTAGTCATTTTTTTCTTTCGCTCTGTATTTGCTTTGTAACCTTACCATAAATTAACCTTCTCCCAAATTCTTCCTCTATTTCTCAATTTATTTTTCTTCATCGCCTGCTTCATTTTTCTTTTTTCTGTCGAAATAGCACGGCGACTTTGAGATCAAATATCTCATCAAGCATTACATAAAGCATAACATCATTTGTGACACCATAATTCTGTATTTTGCATGCATTTAAACGTTGTCATAATTATGGGTCGCGAAAAGTAAGCATTACATGCTTAACTTATGAAAACTGCCATTATATGAAGTTATTGTATAAATTAGTGTATTCTGCCCGAGTTTATTCGTCGATGAATATGGCGACGGGCCGCTTCTTATTTCTTTTTTGCTTCCTTCCACCCTTTCTTCCTTTGCTTCCTTCCTCCGTTTCTTTCTTTCTATCATCTGTTCTTCCTTTCTCTTTTTCCTACCGTTCTTTCTTTCTTACCTTCGTTGTTGTGTAAAAGGGAATTTTTTTGTTTCTTGTACTAATAGCTCTCTTACTATTTCTAATTCTACTACTACTACTACTACCACTACTTCTACTACCACTACTACTACCACTACCACTACTACTACTACTACCACTACTACTACTACCACTACCACTACCACTACCAATACCAATACCACTACCACTACCACTACTACTACTACTACTACTACTACTACTTCTACTGCTACTGCTACTACTACTACCACTACTTTCACTACTACTACTACTACTACTACTACTACTACTTCTCATTTTCACTCACTTCCTTACTTCTTTCCTACTTATATTCCTTGTCTTCATCCTCATCCTCCCCTCCTACTCCGCACTAATAGATGTTGCTAGGTCCCCGCAGCGACGCCGCGTGCGTTGGGGGGGAGACCATCAGGGTATTAAAGGCATCACTTTTTGAGTCGGCCATAGTTAGTCCGCGGGTTATCTGTTCTGAATGAGCTCTTAATTTCCTCTTTCATTGACCAGGTAACATCAGCGCTATGAGCGTCATGCATGAGGGTCTGCTCTACCAATGCCAGCTGGTCCAGAGGGTTTTACGACAACAGCTACCATGGGCTTATCCGATGAGAAGAAAAACAAGGAGTGGTTATTACAGGCCGCGCAGGCTTTGCAGATGTCCATTAGAAACTCCAAACTATGGAAAGAGCAGAGCAACCCTTAAATGCTTGAAGGCAGGGAGATCTAACTGTCATGGTTTTTAAACTGTCCCAACGCGTCGGACTTTGTTCAAGGCAGGGACGCGTTTGACTTCCGCTTTATTCTTAAGTGGTGGGCTTGCATATAAATGTATTATTACTAAGTATCGAGAGCACGTGTTTGTGTCACGTCACGTGCTTTACAAAATAAGTATACAAACATGGAAGTAGAACTGGAAGAATAATGTGCACTTGTCACGTCACAGAGGTCAGAATGACCCTAGCTAACTACTTAGTTTATTTGAGTTTTCAGCCCAATCAAGTTTTTCTTTCCATTTAAAAGATTGATATTCTGTTTCATTCCAACAGGCTTAGAATGTCTAGGACGGTTAAAATATCAATTTATATCAGAGAAATTAAAAATAAGCTTTCAGACACACAACATGTAAATCTTCAAGTCTGTTCTAGAAAGATAATGCTTTTTTTACTTTAATATGACAAAAATAAAGAGTAAATACTTGTGTGATTCTTTTAATTGGTTTTCATAGATTTCATTATTGTTTCAAATTATCTTTTTTATTCCAACTCGCGGTGGAAAAAAGTGATAATTTGCTACTTATAGCTCAGGTCAAAAGTAAAAACCAAGAAAAATTAACAGGTCGTACATGGCGGATGATATTACTCCAGTGTTATATGGAACTGAATTTATGAACAAATAATATATTACAATTCTGTTTTCTAAGGACGCATTCACATCAGTGGACTAACTAGTCCGAGGGTCAAATATGGCGACCCACTACAAAGCTTGTCGTCTTATCCGCTAATAGATGCTGAATAGTGGATCGGCCATATTTGACTCTCGGACTAGTAAGTCCACTGTTCTGAGTGCGGCCCTATATGAAAAACTCAATTTACTGCCTATGTTAAATATATAAAGCCAAAATTTATCTAGAAGTTGAGGAACTGAAAAAGTGAAATTTTAGTAATCAGCGATGTTTCTTTTACATGTATGTTGAAAAGAAAAAATGGACAATAATTACGCTTAAATAAAAAGTTAACGATTACCGAATAAATGACAATGTTATCATTTCACCTCACGGGAAGATAATTTCTTGTCGTTTCTAAAACGGAAGGGGGTGGTGTAGCCAGCACACACACACACACACACACACACACACACACACACACACACACAGTGCATCTTCAAGTAAAAAGAAACCATATATATAAATATACCTTTAAATAATATACATTTTTATTTAGTTATCTTTTGATAGGGTGATTACATTTAGAAGAGCAATATCCTTCATCTACAATACTGCATCACCAAGCATTAGACGGCAATCCTTCAAACGTGAAATATATGACTTGTGAGTAAAGAAGTGAGGGGAATTAATAATACATGTAGTTTCGATACAAAGCCGCGATTTTTCTTACTAAAGAAGTTGCATATTGGGGAATAAATTCAACAAAACTTTCTCAAATGAACCCTCTCTAGTTCTTTTATTCAATTTTGCATAAAAAACCATCTCGGAATGCTTATTTAGATCACAGCAGTACTGTCCAAACACATTCATATTTAGTCTTTTTATTTCCAATAATTATACATGGTCTTCATTTAATGTCATTTACCGCAATGAAGTTCAGTGGGTTTTTGAAGGACGTACGATCCTAAAATTCGTGCGTCAGGTTGTGGCCGAGGATATAATTGGAATGAGCCCTAAGGGTTGTGTTTAAGGGAGGATTGGAGAGAAAATAATGGCAGACTGGAGAGCGAGTCTAAAATTAAATAAAATAAATAAAAGCAGGTAATAAGGAAGCATTCACATCAAGAAGAGCCGAGGTCTAGTAAGGCCCTGACCTAAATATGGCGGACTTACATGAAAGGAAGACCGCTTAAGCCATTAATGGTCTCTTTCACACGCCTCCCCGTGCGTCGGGGCACACTAATTCAATCTCGCCTCAATTCAACCGGTAGAGGGATGTGGGGAGCCGTGTGAGAGGTCGAGAGACCATTACAGGATGAAGCGGTTTCCCTTTCATGTAGGTCCGCCATATTCAGGTGGCGGTCTTATTAGACCTCGGCTCTTCTCGATGTGAATGCTCCCTTAGTACTCGGATCATCCATTCCGAATGGGGCCTAACTAGTCCGAGGGTCAAATGTGGCGACCCACTTGAATACCTCCCCACAGGGAGTCTATCCATTGTCTATTAGCGGATTAGACGGTAATCTTTGTAGTGGGTCGCCATATTTGACCCTCGGACTAGTTAGTCAACTGTTCTGAGTGCGGCCTTATATTCTCAGTACGAAAAACTTTTCGTTTCATTCACTGCGATGAAGTAGATGACTGCTGACGATTTTGTGTCATTGCCATAAAACGTTAGTTACAATAACACAACTTTAGACTACGGAGGTGTAGAATCTCAAGTGGTGATATTATTTACCTTAATTAAGTATGGATGTGGTGGAATCGGGTGTAGGCCGATTTGGACGCATTCAAATACGAGTCAGACAGTCTGCTGCGCGTGTTGTAAGTAGCATCCGACGACGCAGTGGAAGGATTTCAGTGAAAACATCTCCGGATCAGGCTGCTGCTCCAGGCGCTGATGGAAGTGAGGATCCTATCGCAGAGAAAAAGGTACAAGGAACAATTTGAGATGCAATGGCAGTTGATATCTATGCGAGAGCCTTGTTTTATTTTCACAAATCCACAATTTTTAATCTGATCGGTTTATTGATAGCTGAAACAAACAGCGCATTCCGTTTGTATCCCACCATTTCGGCTGAATTAGTAAATGCGCTTTGAGTTAATCAATACTTGTTTCCTGTTTTTACAAACATTTCTATTTTCATTTACTCATTTTTTAAAATCACTTTTCAATTTAGACCAAAGACAGCGACACGGAGATTTTTATCGATGGGGACACAGCAACTAAGCGGTGAGACTTAACGCTGCTCATCTCATCATGAAAGTATTTCTACTTTTTATTGAACTTATTAGACCTTCTGCGATAAAACATCTCACTAATATGAAACAGCATCTAAAACATATACATCAGCATGTAGATAAATATTCTCTACAAATGAAAACAAACAACAGTCTTCTCTTATTGATTACAGAAGTGCTTTTGATATACATCCATTTACTAGTAAAAGAAATACACACAGGTTGCCTTTGGATCAAAAATCGTTTTATGATAAATTTGTATTTTCCCCGAAGGCCTGATTCCACAACCTCTAGTGAAAGAGCAGCTTATATGAAAGCGATGGAGGAACTGCGCTCTTTTGAGGAAAAGAAAAAGGAAGAGAAAAGGGAAGAGAAGAAACCAAAATCAAGATGGCAAACCTTCAAGGCAATGCTCTGCTGTTGTGCTTCCAAGGTAAGATGTTGTGATTTCTTTGCTGTATATTAAATCTTTTCTACAGCAAAGAAATCACAAGATTACGATGTAACTATTTTTGTCAATAAGACCGCATTTCGCTCATTGCATTTATTTATGGATACATGAAAATTACCAGACATTCAGTTGAGCTATGACACGACAAAATTGGCCCATTCTGCACGGGAAAAGCAAATTTTCTATGGATTTAACATTGTCCATATTTAGAATGATGAACAGATATGAATTTACTTGTTAATCTTTATATTTTTACATGAGCCTTGTGAAAACTCAATTTGCAACAAACACCAGTGAGAATCGCGGTGATCAGAGCAGATTTACATGTAGGTAGTAGGTTAAATTTCTTCTCAAAAATTTAAAGAAATGGCCAGTCTTAAGCTCTTTTATGGCTGAATCGAGTGATCTATTCAGTTTATTCCTTGGCATGTCGACTAAGAGTCGTAAAAGAAACTAGTAGAAGTGGTTTACATGTGTTACTGGGAATCCACGCTCCACCGGTGCTTGTTTAATACTGGGTATGTACCATAAACAGTAAGACGGTGATAATGTAAGGATGACGAATCCTAGAGTATCTTTGTCTGTATTAGAATTTTGCCATACATTTTGTATTAGAATTTTACCCTACATTTTGCCATATTTGCCATTCTCTGATTTTGAGAACTCACATATCTATAACATTTTGTTCGGATCGATGCCATTCTATTGTGTTCTATTAACACATATTTTTTTTTATATATGGGGGCATGATTATATATTTCTTGGGGGGGGGATTGTCCTGGGGGGAATTGTCCGGGGGGAATCCCACTCAACCAAGCATTCCAGCTCGCCAGAGACAGAAAACTCCAACTCTTTCTCCCCTCGATCCCCTAAAGTATACATAAAGGATGAAAAAAAAAAAAAAATATATATATATATATATATTTCTTGGGGGGATTTGTCATGGGGGGAATTGTCCGGGGTAATTGTCCTAGAATCATAGCATTAATATTTTTCTCATTTTTCTGTTAGACAGTGCATGGTCCAAGGAAGTAAGGAGAAGCTATTATTGTGGGTAGATATAATGATTTTTGTACACGGCGTTAATAATACTCCAGTGGCGTGTGTAAAAGGATAAAATACGAACGCTTACAATAAATGTTTTCCGCTTAACATGGATTCCTTTTTTAACAAGTCCACATTTTGCGTTTTAAGTGTACTTTCAGTTGCAGAGCAAATTCCCGTTGTAGTGTTCAACAGAGCATGCCTACGACCATCCTCGGGCCGTCTTCCATTCGGGTTCTACGATGTGTTCACGCCAGCGTGGAGTGATAGCTGAGGGTGTTCCACCTACGGGGGCATCGTCCTTTTCCATCCTTCGAGTCATCTGTGATCTATGCATTGCGCGGGCGGCCTGCACTCTCCAACTGATTATTGTTGTCAGCGTTGGATTTCCTCATAGCGATTTACTAGTAAATATTTTGACCACGAATTTGAAAAGTAGTATTAAGGCGTTATATCCAACCTGAAAGTTTACAACGGCGTCCGTATTTCGAGTCTGTTTGTAATTTTATTCATTGCTAAAATTTGGTTCTGGACATAATGTATTGGCCTCCATTTGAGATTTTGGCGCTTTGCCATGGATGAATTCTAGGTTATATTTACTCATCAATGGACCGGATTCAGTTGAGTTTTTTCAATGAACTATAACTGCAATGACCCGGGCACAGAGAGTGTCATATAGTTGACGCGGGCATAGAATGCGTTCAATGTTTTCAGTGACATAAAATCTGTCCTATGTGGACGATTGTTTTACCTCATGTTCATGCAGGGGCGAATCCAACATTATTTGAAGGGGGTCTGCGGATGCCATGCCGACCCCCCCCCTCCTTGGCGTGGGGTTCGGGGCCGCTGAAGAGCCTCGAAAAAAAATTGGGATATTAGAGGGGGGGCGGAGAACTGATTCAGCTAGTCAAAATTGTAATTTCAAGAGCGGACCAATGGTGTGATTTTTTTCCAGATATCAAAGGAGGCATCAAGACCCC